CCTGATCCGGCCTGTGGACCTTGGTTTGCCGACCCATGCAGTATCTCCTCCCAATTTCTTCCTCCCCCTGCCCGACCTCTCCTCGGTGCCCCACCACCAACCGCCTGACTCTAGACCCCTTTTCCTTCAGCCATGCTGAACCATTCACACCACTTTGAGCTCCTTAAAGGTAGGCTAGAAACACAATCCATAAATTCTCTCCTCTTTGAAGGTAAAGGTAAAGGGACCCCTGACCATTAGGTCCAGTCGCAGACGACTCTGGGGTTGTGGCGCTCATCTCGCTTTACTGGCCAAGGGAGCCGGCGTACAGCTTCCGGGTCATGTGGCCAGCATGACTAAGCCACTTCTGGCAAACCAGAGCAGCGCACGGAAACACTATTTACCTTCCCACCAGAGTGGTACCTATTTATCTACTTGCACTTTGACGTGCTTTTGAACTGCTAGGTTGGCAGGAGCAGGGACCGAGCAACGGGAGCTCACCCCATTGCGGGGATTTGAACCGCCAACCTTCTGATCGGCAAGTCCTAGGCTCTGTGGTTTAACCCACAGCGCCACCCACGTCCCATCTCCTCTTTGAATCAGCCCATTAAAATCAAAACAAAACATGAGGACTGGAATCTTACTCTAACTATAAGGGAAGGACTCCAGCTCATCCCTGGCCAGGCTGGCTGCTGAGAACTGCTGTAAGCAGGCCTTGTTGTGTGGGGGTTGGGGGGCATGGAAGGACTGCCCCACGGGGACAATGCTGCAAGTGGCTTAAAGCCATCCGGCATCAGCACGAAGCCCGCAGGGGCTGATCTCGCCCTGCTCTCTTTTGAGGGGGCGCTTGTAATTTACAAGCCGTCACTCTGCAAGTCCCCCTATCCATCACACTGACAGGTATTTCATTTTCTGCGCTAGAACACATCCGCAGACTTAACACGGCTTACTACCAGCATTGGTTCAGAGGGCAAGTCCTCCGAACAGTAGCCGTGTCAGTTTTTCCGCACACCTAGCGTGGTAAATCTTTGGTCTTCAAGGTGTTGCTGAGCTACAACTCCCAGCAAACCAATGTCCAGGGATGATGGGAGTTCTAGTTCAGCAGTGTCTGGAGGGCCTGGGGTTCCCACCCTTTTACTACCCAGTGGAAAAGGTAAAGGTAAAGGGACCCCCGACCGTTAGGTCCAGTCGCGGACGACTCTGGGGTTGCGGTGCTCATCTCGCTTTATTGGCTGAGGGAGCCGGCGTACAGCTTCCGGGTCATGTGGCCAGCAGGACTAAGCCGCTTCTGGCGAACCAGAGCAGCGCACGGAAACGCCGTTTACCTTCCCGCCAGAGCGGTACCTATTTATCTACTTGCACTTTGACTTGCTTTCGAACTGTTAGGTTGGCAAGAGCAGGGACTGAACAACGGGAGCTCACCCCATCGCGGGGATTCAAACCGCCGACCTTCCGATCAGCAAGTCCTAGGCTCTGTGGTTTAACCCACAGCGCCACCTACGTCCCAACTACCCAGTGGTAGGACTGAGGCCAAACAGAGATACGCCTGCAAGCATTTCTGTGCACCAGGGAAGTGGGTGGCGCTGTGGTCTAAACCACAGAGCCTCTTGGGCTTGCCGATCGGAAGGTCAGTAGTTCGAATCCCCGTGATGGGGGTGAGCTCCCGTTGCTCAGTCCCTGCTCCTGCCAACCTAGCAGTTCGAAAGCAAGTCAAAGTGCAAGTAGATAAATAGGTACCACTGCAGCAGGAAGGTAAACGGCGTTTCCATGCACTCTGGTTTCCATCATGGTGTTCCGTTGCGCCAGAAGCGGTTTAGTCATGCTGGCCACATGATGCAGAAAAACTGTCTGTGGACAAACGCCGGCTCCCTCGGCCTGAAAGCAAGATGAGCGCCGCAACCTCATAGTCGCCTTTGACTGGACTTAACCATCCAGGGGTCCTTTACCTTTTTTTACCTTACACCAGGGAAACGTCGACACTCCAAACATCGTTGGATCACAGCTCCCGTCTCCGCCAGCAGGTATGATGGCAGTTGCAGTTCAAGTCACATCTGGAGGGTACACCAAACAAAGACCTGGTTGTGTATCTTCAGTCTGGGAGCTGTTGTCCTGCCCACCTTGTTTCTCTGAAATGAGGACTAGAACCTTGTTTCCTTGAAGCAAAAGTAATTTTGTTTGATTTCTTAAAAGACAACACTAACCAACGACTTAAAAGAAATGGATCAACTGCTGATTCTAGAAACTGGAGGTGGGGGGGGGGGCGAAGACTGTGATGCGACATACACTTGATTGGAACACAGTGAGTTTTTTTGTTGTTTAGTCGTTTAGTCATGTCTGCCTCTTCGTGACCCTTCTTCGTGACCAGAGCACGCCAGGCCCTCCTGTCTTCCACTGCCTCCCGCAGTTTGGTCAAACTCATGTTCGTAGCTTTGAGAACACTGTCCCACCATCTCGTCCTCTGTCGTCCCCTTCTCCCTACATCAGGGTCTTTTCCAGGGAGTCTTCTCTTCTCATGAGGTGGCCAAATTATTGGAGCCTCAGCTTCAGGATCTGTCCTTCCAGTGAGCGCTCAGGGCTGATTTCCTTCAGAATGGAGAGGTTGGATCTTCTTGCAGTCCATGGAACTCTCAAGAGTCTCCTCCAGCAACAAAATTCAAAAGCATCCATTCTTTGGCGATCAGCCTTCTTTATGGTCCAACTCTCACTTCCATACATCACTACTGGGAAAACCATAGCTTTAACTATACGGATCTTTGTCAGCAAGGTGATGTCTCTGCTTTTTAAGATGCTGTCTAGGTTTGTCATTATGCTCCTTGCCTGATACGGCCAGCACAAAGAGCCATTGTGGTGCAGGGCTTAGAGTGTTGGACTAGGATCTGGGACAGACCAGGGTTCAAATCTCTGCCTGGCCAGGAAGCTCACTGAGTGAGCCTAAGCTCATTCACAGGCCTGTAGAAAATTGTACACAATTCTACAGAACTGCAGAGTTGTAAGAGACAAAATGGGGGTGGAAGACACAAGATCTACCCACCAGGGAAGAATGGCAGATGAAGCTGATGGACTACATGGAATTGGCGGAAATGACTGGCAGAATCCGAGACCAGGGAGAAGAGTCGGTGGAAGAAGATTGGAAAAAATTTAAAGTATATTTACAGAAATATTGCAAAATTAATGAATGTTAGAAGGATGCTGGAATGAAGCTATATGGCTCTAGAAGAAATGTTATAAAGAATTAAGTAAAAATAGATTGTTAATGGACCAAAGTGGAAAATTTAAGGTTAGAGTGTCTTAAGTTAAATTTTAGAACGAAAATTGAGAAAGATGGAAAGGACTTGCTGAAATAGCTAATTGAACTAGAATACAAAAAAGGGAGGTGTGAGGAGGTCGATGAAACAAGTATATGAAAGGTAAAGACATGGAAAAGTTGGAAGTGTTTTTAAATGTTTTTGTTCTGTTTTTTCGTTATTTTATTGTATTTTTTGTTTCTTCTTTTTTATGTATTGTAAGGTATTGTTTTGCTTTGTTTAATTCTTTATTGTTCTCTTTCTTTTTCTGTAACTTGTAAACTCCTAATAAATATCTTTTTTTTTTAAAAAAAGAGACAAAATGGGGGCAGGAGGAGAACCTTGCACGCCATTTTGAGCTCCTTGGAAGAAAAGGTGGACTTATCAATGTAAGAAATAATAATAATTAACGAAGGACTCTGAATTTGAGCCACATTAAATCCAGCCCTCAACCTGCTCCACCCACCCAGTCGAAATTGCGGGCGAAATTGAGTCCCGTTCCCTTCGCTCTAGGAAAGCAAGAAGAAAACACAGAGTCAAGGAAGGGCAGAGTTGGAAGGGACCACAAGGGTCATCTAGTCCAACCCCCTGGAATGCAGGATTTTTTTGCCCAGCACAGGGTTCGAATCCATGACCCTGGAATTCAGGGTCTCGTGCTGTACTGAGTGACATTTGCTGCCTTCTTGGACAGAAGCAAGCGACAAAGGAGTTCTGTTTCCAGAGGCTGGTTCTGGCGTTTGGTCACTTGTCTTATGGAACAGAACAAACCAAGGATCTCACTGGAGGAAAAACCTGCCGGTGTTCCACTCCCACCCCCACCCCCCGCCACTGCTGGGCTATACAGATTTTTCTTTTTCAGTTATTCCAACCACTGCACAACGAGCAAACTTTGCCCCCACAGCCGCTTCTCAAGGCCGTAGCAATGGCAACCCTTTCTCTGCGCCAGAAAAGGAGAAGATTTCAAAACATGCAGACACAAATATATATATTGAAAGGAAGAGGGAGAGCTAGCAGCCTTTGATGTTCGAAGGAGCTCCCGCTGCCAGTGGTGCTTCAGGGAGGAGCGGCAAAACCACTGTTTATCGTTGCACAGAACTGTAGGGTCCCTCAGAACTCAGGTCATCTAGTCCCTGGGCTTTTATTCAGCAGGAACTTAGGGGTACTCACTTCCAGCACCTCTCAGGTGAGTGCCATTGCCATTCTAATGAGGGAATGAGGTTCTAGCCACAGTGATTCATGCAACGGTCACCTCCAGGCTTGATCATTGTAACTCGCCCTACGCGGGGCTGCCCTTGAAGCTGACCCAGAAACTCCAGCGGGTGCAGAATGCCGCGGCGAGGCTCCTTACGGGGTCCTTGCCACGGGATCACATTCATCCAGTGCTTTACCAACTGCACTGGCTCCCGGTGGAGTACAGGGTCAGGTTTAAGGTGCTGGTTTTGACCTTTAAAGCCCTATCCAGCCTAGGAACCTCGTACCTACAGGACCGCCTCTCCTGGTATGCCCCACAGAGGACCTTAAGGTCCACAAACGACAACACTTTGGAGGTCCCAAGTCTTACAAACCTGTGGGTCCCCAGATGTTGTTGAACTACAACTCCCATCACCCCTAGCTAGCAAGGCCAGAGCTCAGGGATGATGGGAGTTGTAGTCCAACAACATCTGGGGACCCACAGGTTGAGAACCACCGGCTTACATGAATAAGCCTGACATCGGCTTGCACAGAGTTTAGACGAGTTGGGATAGCTCAGTTGGTAAAAGCACGAGGCTATTAATCTCAGGTTCGTGGGTTCGATCCCCACGAGGGGGTGAAGGATTCCTGCGTCACAGGGAGTTGCACAACATGACCCTCTGGGTCCTTTGCAACGCAACAACACTATGATTCCGCGAAACGCTGTCATCTTTCAAAATTCTGCCTTCCCCGAATTTTGCAATGCCGTCCTCCAGTCCCGTGGTGTGTGCCAAAACGCACATTCCTAGGCGAAGTGCACAAAAGAATCTGCATGTATTGGGGGAATGAGCATTCAAAAATTCATTACGAAGGTTGCTTTGCAAAATAATAATAATATGTGTATCTTACGCAACGTTGCCTACCAAAACGTGTGTATTCAGAGAAAGCCACACCGAAAAGCTGCTGGGTTTTCATAAGGACAAACAAACAAATAAATTGCAAAACAATGTGGATATGTTGAGAAATGAACTGGGGGGGAAATAGAAGCTGAGAAAAGCTGACGTTGACAGTCTCTGGGGACATTTTTAACAAGGAAGAAAGTTGCTTGGTAAGTTGTACTGGCTGTTGTACACTGGGAATTGTAGCTCTTGAAGCGGGGGGAGGGGCGTGCGAATTGGGGACTCTCAGCACTTTTAGAAAACTACAGTTCCCAGAATTCTTCAAGGGAAGCCATGACTGTTTAAAGAGATATGATGATGCTTTAAAAGCCTAGTGCAGGTGGGGGCCTGTGCTGCAAGATGCTCTTTTGAAGGCCCCCAATTAAGGTCTAAAAATGATAAAGCTTTCGAAAAACAATCGCACAAACAAAATACTTTTCTTATGCTTGTGGCCGTGAGCGCATTAAAATACCTCTTTTTTAAAAATGGCCTTTTTATTTAAAAAAACCACACCCTTCCTTTGTGATAATTTGCATTCAAACACTCATTAAAACCTTACACACACACACACACCCCTTGCTGTCTGCTAATGTGATTGTTAAAAAGACCCTCACTGTATGCTAATGCACATGCTAATGTGTATTTAAAAGACGCTTGCTGGGTGCTAATGCTAATAAGCATGAAAAGACTTTTAAAAATGCTCCTTGCTGCTTAGTAATTTCCATGGTACTGTACTTAAAAAAAACAAAAACCACAACCACCACAAAAAACTTGTCGTGTGCTATCTGGACGTTTAAAGAAGTTCTAGATATCCTCTCCAAAATGCGTTCATGCCTTTCAATTGCCCTCTAGGGGGGAAGACAGTCATTTGGGGAATACCTTTAAGGTACAAACATGTTCTTTTTTTATTATTCAAAATTATAACCAGACATATTATCCAAAAACATATCATCCTTGTCCCCCCCCCCATTTTTCCTCCCTCCCCCCCTCCCACACAAAACACCCCCACCCCCTGACTTCCCTCAGTTCCAGTCTTTGGTTTCTCTGAGACTGCTGTTTTCTGCATGTTACAAAGTTGTATAGATCCTCAAACTCTTTAGCTGATTATTATCAATAAAAAGTTTGTGAATGTTTATTCAAAACCTGCCAAGGAGTCCAGTTCGCTTTGTTGCGCCTTCAGGTACTTTATAAAGGGTTCCCATTCATCCTTAAAGTCACAGTTATCCTTGTCCCGTAGCTTATGTGTCAATTTTGCCAGTTCTGCGTAGTCCATCAATTTTTCTTGCCACAATTCTTTAGTTGGGGTTTCTTCAGTCTTCCATCCTTGTGCTACCAGAACTCTCGCGGCCGTTGTCGCATACATGAAGATGTTTTTCAGTTTTTTTGGCTGGTCTTTCCCTACAATCCCCAACAAAAATGCCTCGGGTTTTTTAACAAATGTTAAATGGAACATTTTCTTCAATTTGTTGTATATCATTTCCCAAAATTTTTAAATTACCTTACAATCCCACCACATATGATAAAATGTCCTCTCCTTTTCCTTACACTTCCAACATATATTTGAACTAGTTTTGTACATTTTCCCTAACTGCACTGGTGTTGTGTACCATCCATACATCATCTTCATGTAATTCTCCTTCAATAGGGAACAATCTGTAAATTTTAAGTCAGTTTTCCATAATTTAACCCAATCTTCCATCATAATGTTGTGACCTAAAGTGGTACAAACATGTTCAATGTATGTCAGATCCAGCTCAGGCTAATCTGTTTTGCCTCCCACTTCTAGATGTAAGTGGAATCATCGAATAGCAGAGTTGGAAGGGCTCCCTGGGGGGCATCTAGTCCAACCCCCTAGATGTCGGACTCACAGATAAACCATCCAAGTTCTGCTTAAAAAAAGGAGAACTCACTCACCTTCCGCTGTCGAAGGGTTCTTGGTACCAGGAAGTTCTTCCTAATGTTTCTGAAAGCATCGTTTGGCAGTGGAGTTATTTATTTATTTATTACTTAATTATTTCATTCCGTTTATATCTCACCTTTTCTTCTCTCTAAGGAGGTCAAGTGTTGCGGAGTAAATGAGTGGAGCACCCTTTGCCAACCTCCAGATTTTTTAGATTCCTGTATTGCAGGAGCTTGGACTAGATTGGGGGTCATTGGAGCATCGGAAGGCAGAACCAGATCCAATGAGAGGTGGAGTCAGTTCCAATGAGAGGCGGAGCCACGGCAAATGAGAGGTGGAGTCAGTTCCAATGAGAGACGGAGCCACGGCAAATGAGAGGTGGAGTCAGTTCCAATGAGAGACGGAGCTACGGGAAATGAGAGGTGGAGTCAGTTCCAATGAGAGGCGGAGCCACGGCAAATGAGAGGTGGAGTCAGTTCCAATGAGAGGTGGAGCCACAGCAAATGAGAGGTGGAGTCAGTTCCAATGAGAGGCGGAGCCACGGCAAATGAGAGGTGGAGTCAGTTCCAATGAGAGGCGGAGCCACGGCAAATGAGAGGTGGAGTCAGTTCCAATGAGAGGCGGAGCCACGGCAAATGAGAGGTGGAGTCAGTTCCAACTCGATGATTCTATGACTCCCCATCAACAACCACCAGCTCAGCTACATATCTTGCATTTTTGTAGCAGCTTCAGCCACAACAAATAAATAATGTTGTCCTATCCTCCAATGATGGCAATTTCACGGAGGAGAAAGAGATCTATTGCAACTAGGCTGCTGTACTTTTCCACCAGAAAACCAAAGAGGGATTTCAAAACAATCAAATGATGCATTTTATAACCCAAAGTCCCTTGTGGGCTTATGGATTGACACCTGCTCTTTTAGCTACAGAACAGCGAGAGGCCATTGATTCAAAACTGTGCTTGTTCTTTCAACTTCATTTTATTTTTTAAAAAGTTCCTGTAATTCACGGACAGGGATTCAAATGCCACCTAAAGGGGAGGATCAATGAGCCCTTGTTCTAGTCCTGATGGTGGCAGCGCTGAAAACCTTTCATATGTTAAAACAAAAGCAGAAGGGATATGAAGTTTGAGCTTGCCCCGGGCCAGTAGAACAACACAGTGAGTGTCAAAGTGCTTGGTCTAATCAGTTGGGCAAATTAGACATTTGTCCATCGGTGAAACATACCAAATGTTCTCATTGACTGTGTCTGCCTAGGTCTTTTGGGGGGGGGTTCGGGTGTGTCAATTTTCTAATCTGGATCCCAATCTCTGCGATTTAGGGTTAGAGAAAGGTCCTCTGAGTTGTTCAAGAACGACACATGTAAATTATTCCTTCCCACTTGTACTACTGCAATGCGCTCTGTCACCTTTGAAGGTGACCCAGAAACTACAACTACAGTGGTACCTCAGGGTTAAGTACTTAATTTGTTCCGGAGGTCCGTACTTAACCTGAAACTGTTCTTGACCTGAAGCACCACTTTAGCTAATGGGGCCTCCTGCTGCTGCTGCGCTGCCGGAGCCCGATTTCTGTTCTCATCCTGAAGCAAAGTTCTTAACCCAAGGTACTGTTTCTGGGTTAGCGCAGTCTGTAACCTGAAGCGTATGTAACCTGAAGCATATGTAACCTGAGGTACCACTGTAATCCAGAATGCGTCAGCCAGACTGGTGACTGGGAGCAGCCGCCGAGACCACAGAACACCTGTCTTGAAAGACCTACATTGGCTCCCAGTGCGTTTCCGAGCACAATTCAAAGTGTTGGTGCTGACCTTGAAAGCCCTAAATGGCCCACTAGACCTGAAGGAGCGTCTCCACCCCCATCGTTTTGCCCGGACACGGAGGTCCAGCACCGAGGGCCTTCTGGCGGTTCCCTCACTGTGAGAAGCGAGGTTACAGGGAACCAGGCAGAGGGCCTTCTCGGTAGTGGCTCCCGCCCTGTGGAACGCCCTCCCACCAGATGTTAAAGAGAACAACAACTACCAGACTTTTAGACTACATCTGAAGGCAGCCCTGTTTAGGGAAGCTTTTAATTTTTGAGGCATTACTGTACTGTATTTTAATATTGTGTTGGAAGCCGCCCAGAGTGGCTGGGGAAACCCAGCCAGATGGGCGGGGTATAAATAATAAATTATTATTATTTATTATTATAGCTGTCCGCCTCACTTTTGACCCCCAAGCCTGGCTGAGTCGCAAAAACCATGGCGTGCGTGCGCTATGACGGCTGCATGGATTCCTGGACTGTCTGTGGGCCGGATCTAGAAGGCAATTGGGCCTGATCCGGCCTGCGGGCCTTAGTTTGCCAACCCATGTCCTAGTTAAATCATGTGCCTTCCCATCTGCTAACCAGGTTCAACGTCCTATCAAAAATATGCAAACAGCTTAAGTCCTGGGTATCCCACAGGCCTGCACCCTTAAATCCCAGCTTCATCACTCAGATGAGGAGTGTCGTCGGTCATCTCCCTCAGTTTGCATGCCAGGCAGATGCTCTACCAGGTCTTTCACATCCTGTGGAACCCTCTGCCACTGGAGATTCAGAACGCAGCTTCCGTTTCAAAGTTCTGAAAACATTATATATATATATATATGTATATATATATATGGGACGCGGGTGGCGCTGTGGGTAAAACCTCAGTGCCTAGGACTTGCTGATCGTATGGTCGGTGGTTCGAATCCCTGCGGCGGGGTGAGCTCCCGTCTTTCGGTCCCAGCTCCTGCCCACCTAGCAGTTCAAAAGCACCCTTAAGTGCAAGTAGATAAATAGGTATCGC